TATAAGATTAATTTGAGAGTTTTTTACCAAAAAGGAAATTTTTTTATAAAAAGAGAAATGATTTTCAATTTCGAGGCAATTCAGCAGGTGTTTTAATAACAAATTGAGAAATGATTTCCATAGAAAATCTCGTGACAAAATTTATAATAAATTTAAAAATAAATGATCAACAAATGATCAACAAAATTGTTACTAGTTTTATAAAAAACGCCCAATAATATCTTTTTATTGTTTTAAAAATTAAAACTGCAAAAAAAAATTCTTACCTTTTGTTGCATTCCTTGGTTCAGGGAAATTTTCAAAACTATAAACTCTACTATTATTCCAGTTACTAGAACCTTTACTAGAATTTTCAAAAAAAGAATTAATAGTAGAGCTAGAATTTACATTAAATTTTGTATTTAATAAAGAATTATAAGTATTTGTAATGTTAATTATCTGTTCATAATTTTCATTTTGACAATATGATTTATAGATTTCTGTTATGATTTTATCAGTAAAAGTATAAATATCAGGCCTTTTTGTTGCATCAGCATCCCAACATTGTTCCATTAATTCTTTATATTCTAAGGGAGTGCCTGGTATTATTTTTGGTCTCATTCCATTTATTATTTTTATTGCAAGATCATAATCATGTTTATTAATAAAAGGTGGTTGTCCAGATGAGATTTCCCACATAAGCATGCCAATACTATAAATATCAGATGCAAAAGAATATTTCATTTTAACAATGACTTCAGGTGCTATATATGGAAGATTACCATATATACTATCTAATGGTATATTAGCTGGTCCACAAAATCCAAAATCACTGACATAAAATCTTTGATTAATTTGGCTAAATAATATATTTCCAGAATGTAAATCTCTGTGAATTGCATTCTCGTCATGAATATAAGAAACTGCACTAATAATATTAGAAATAATTTGAATTCCTTCTTTCCATGTAAGTTTATTATGATTTTGTTGCAAATATTCTCTTAGATTTATATTCATACGAGACATTACAAGCATGTAATTTCCATTAAATGGATTTTGAGTTAAACCAAAACATTCCACTATAAGGGTACCTTTGCTACTTATGTGTAAATGAGATATACCCTACAAAAATTAAAAGAAATTAGAAATTGCAATTAAATTTTTTTAAAAAATAATTTTAATTACTGTATATACCTCCTCAAGCCAACTTTTATTAGCACGTTCAACATTTTCTAATTTTTTGAGCACTACACTCATCGATCTATATCTTTTAAATTGTTTTTCTTTTGGATTTCACTCTTCGTAACGTCCATCAATCCAATCTGCTGTATATATTTCAGAATATCCACCTTTGGTTAAATATTTAATATTTTGTAAATTATTATATGGAATCCATTCTATTATCTTATATGGACAAAGTGCTTTTATTTGACATTTTTTTATTAAATTATCAACATCATTGTTTCCAGATGTCCAGTTTGAAAAATTTTCTTTTAAATAATTTCGAATACAATGTTCACAATATAATGTAGCTAAGCATTCATCTTGACAATTTTCACAAATTCTTTTTTTGCCTTCATTTAAAAGAATTTTAATATAATCAAACCCTACATTTAATTCTTTTACTGCATATGATTTTTCATCCTTTGTAAGAGATTTGTCAGCAAGTACTGTTTGCATTCTATATTCATGTTGTTTTTCTACACTATTATGGATATCTGTTAATGCATATACTCTATTAATTGTAGCTGTAATTATTTCTTTTCGAATAGTAGCCATAATACTGTGATAAAATTTAAAACATGAAAGGATGAACGGAAAAAAGGTCTATTAAATTCCGGAATGAGTTTCACAAAATTTCCGTAAAGGGCAAGAACAGTCGATCACATGAATTCTTAATCACGTGTGTGAAATTAAAATTAGCTGTGGAAAAATAAAATTTGTAATAAAAATTTATTTTATGAAAAAATTTTTCTATGCCGTAACAAAAAAAAACTTTAATAGATGTATATAATAAATTATAACGTTATATTTACTTTATTATCGTTGTATATTTTGGTACAAGTCACTAATTTTTGTTTTCTTAAAAAGAAAAATGTTGTTTATGGGTACTATTCGAAACAATTAAATTTTTGTGTCCTTTTTTTTCTGATAATTAATATCCGTTGGTGTAGATTTTTAAAAGGTTCGCATAAATTCAATATACTTTATATATAAATATATTTCTTTCAACTTTTTAAAAAAAAAAAAAATATTTTCACATCCAAAAGAGGAATTTATTTTGTGCGAGTCTGCGTGATGCATATGTAAATAAAATAATGAAAATCTTGGCTGAAATTTTATTTATTTTT